GGGGGAGGGAGGGAAATGCACAGGACTATGGTGGAGGCACAGGGGTGATTTGGTGATGGGAAACCCGCAGGGATTACAATTGAGATGGAAAAAAAATGTGCAAAATGATGTAAAAATAAACTTTGTAATAAAAAAAATAATAAAATTAAAAAAAAAGAAAAAGAAAAAGAATGCAGAGAAGGGGCCAGGTACTAGTCACTGTTCGCTTTCCCTGCACTGTTCCTCCTCCACCCAGGTCTCACCTAATAGTTCTAGCCCCCACATTTGGTCCCTGCTTGCTAGCCATCTCCTAATATTCCAGCCTTGATATTGTCATACTTGTCATACTGCTGTTCAAAATAACTTTAGTGTTTCCCACCCAAAAGACTGGTCACCTTCAGGATAGCCCCACGTCAGCTGGTCCCAAGCCACTACTAAGCTTCTTCCCCATGTTCTCTGTCTGGTCCTGTTCACATCACATGGACACCTGTACCTTCCTCAAGTCGGCTTCACACATTTACCCATCTGCTTTTTCTTCCTCTCCTCTCCAACCTCCCTTCCAAGTGCTGTTCTCTTTCCCAGGCACCTGCTGTAGAGGTCTTCTCCTAACTCCTGGAGAGATAGGATGCACCCTTGCCAGATTTCTCCAGTTCTTTCATGCTCCCCTTTAGCTTCTGACCACTGTTGGGATTCACAGGGCATCCTTACATTTGCCTGACTCCTTTTCCCAAGGCATCAGCTCTCTGAACACGAGGTGCAATTTTATCACTTGTGTTCCCTAGCTGGGCACTGTGCCCAACCTACCCCAGGACTCAATTGATATTAGTGGAGGAAGTCACCTGATCCTCAAATATGTGGTTTAATGTTCATTCATCTCATTTTCCACAAAGGCCAGAAAACAGGCCAGAAGGTCATTCTGAGCTGTGGAAAATAAACCCTTTCCCAGAAGCTGAGACAAAGTTTGGAACAAGCAAATAAAGATCAAAGAAGCCCCTCACCTTATGAAATCACAGCAGTTAGCACATCCCACCCAGGGGCCATCTCTGTCCAATGTGCTGTTGCTCATGGGGAACACGGGGAGTGTGGGCATTAAAAGTAAAACTACGAGGTCCTCCCTGGTGGCGCAGCGGGTTAAAGCGCAGCATTACAAAGCTAAAGGCATTTCGGCATGAGTTTAATTCCTGGCCCCGGAGGTGATCCACATGGTGCAGCAGACCTCTCCTGACCCGCCTGCTGCTCCCCTCAGTGGTATACTTCATTTATCTGCCTGTTCTGCTCCCCAAACTTAAAAAAAAAGATTTATTTATGCATCCAGAACTGGGGTACAGGGCAAAGGTGCAGAGGTAGGTGAGAGGATTCGCCAGAGACAGAGCATGAAGCAGAACAAGCAGATCCACGAAGTACACTCTGAGGGGAGCAGTGGGCGGGTCAGGAGAGGTCTGCCTGGCCATGTGGATCACCTCCGGGCCAGGGATCAAACGAACTAAAGCAGCTGTGGCTCACCTGCTGTGCTGCAACTTAACCCGCTGCACCACCAGGGAGGGCCAATAAATAATCTTAAAAAAAAAAAAAAAAGTTAAAACTGCACAAGTTCAAGAAGGATGTCTGAGGTCTTCAACTCTGCTTCTCCTGTCTTCCTAACAATGCAGAGAGCAATTCTTTCCTGCCCCAATAGACTTGGAGCTCTACTCATGCTGTGATATCAATGTCCCAAGAACACCACAAAGATAAAATTAGACAATAAAAGGCTTAGAGCAGCAACCTGTGGCCTATACTCTGTCCTCCAGTAGGAAAGTATGACTTTCATCTTTATTTTCCCTTTCCCTGCCAGGCTTCTCTGCCCAGATAGAGAAGTAAGATGGCTTCAAACCTGGGTGAGAAGATCCACAGTGATGAAGCAAATGTCCTAAAACATGGATCACTCATTCACAGCCCTTGGACACATACCCAGACCAGCCCTGGCAGATCCACTGCTGCGGTTGGCACCTTTAGAAATATGGGTGTGAGCAGGCACTTTCTAAGTCCCAGTATCTGCCTCCCTGGCCAAAGTGGGACTGTCTGAAAAGTTTGTTGATGGCTAAAGAATTTTGAAAGTAATACCTGGTGAATCTAGAAATTTATTTTTAGCTGTGACTACTTGCCACAAAACACCACATTGCAACCAGAAGGTGTTGCCTTCAGGATGAGAAGAGACCTATCTAATTGTGGGGTCCTCACAGTTCAAATAGGCTGAGTGCAGTTAGGCTGGTGGCAGGGCCAGAGTCTGCAGCTGGACAGGAATTTATACAGCTGGGAATCCCCCCAAGAAGAAATATTTCATGACCAATTTTTGATCCCTTAAATTGTCATATTTGCCTTCACCTTGTCTAATGTTTAATCCATGTTTATCAAGCACTTTATTGATTAATGGT